TCACGCATGAGAGGCAGATATTCTTAAGAAGCTAAACATGTACAAATGCAGACACTTCAAGTGTTGGAGCATCTCAAAAAGTAACTAATACAACTCGCTTAACATTTGGAGCAGTTGGGTGTCTGCAGAGGTAGGCAGTGACCTTTTTAAAAGTTAGGCTATCAGCATGAAAGCTCTAACCAACTACTACACACAACTGCCAATAAATAACCACTTTTGCATATTGCATTTTGTATATGCTGCTTGCAGACTTTCTTTTCTGCACAGCGAACTTATCCAGAAAACAAATAAACATCTATCAAACTGAAAAGTATAAAACTCTGCCCTGTCCTTACATGTCCTTACAATCTGAGATGGGGGCAGTAACTAATGAAAAATAAATAAACAATCCAAAGGCTGAAAAAGGCTGTGAGGTCTGGACATCTGGTCTTTTTATATGAAAGAAATAGCTCCACAATGTCTCTAAAAAGGTGGCAGTAAACATACACAAATCAATTTGTTACCTGACAGGAAAAGCAAGCAGGCAAACATATGGGTAATTTAGCTGATTAACAGCAAATTAATAGGTAGAGAGAACATGAATCTAGGCTCAATTGAATCTCTCGTGGTAGTAATGCACAGTTAGCCACAAGAGAATGCAAGCGTGCCAGAGGACACTTGATAGTAACCTGGAATTCTACTGGATACTGATAAATGGAAGAAAAAGGTACTTAATAATATGTCCTTGCATTAAATAAGCATGCTGTTTTATTGTAATAAAGGCAAGTTGGAGGCTCAGTCATGGACTGATATCTCACCAATTAGATACTGTACCAGGACAAAATGAAACCTCAGGCTCCATTGAACTTGCAATTTAAATGCAAAGCAAGAAAACAGGCAGACAAATAAGGGTGACGAAAAAGGATAAGCCACAGTCAAAAGTACTGTGGATTTAGCCCCAGATTTCTGCATGTTGGCCCAGAGAATGCCACAGGAACAACAATAGTATTTCTATCTTAGAGCAACTGCAGTGCAGGCTATGAAGAAATCAATTTTTATTTCCAGGAATCCTCAATTTCAAGAAAGAAATTGTGATTACAATTATTCTTAACTTTGCTTTTCTGTCCTTAGAGCTGACATGGTTTCTGGCAGCAAGCTTCAACCTCCCTAGCAGTAACTTAACCCTCCAGGTTAGAAAGAAGCACTCAAACTCTTTCCTCCTCCAGCTTCTTCTTTCCCATTTAAATCTCAGTTCTGCCTCCCTGCCTTTTTGTTTGTTTTCTTCTCTCTTTCTTTTCTAGACTATTGAACACTAATCCATCCCACTTTTCCATATATATCATATTTTATACACCTTGGTCAATGTCACCAAAGACTGCAAACTCCCTCCAGCACATTCACAACTAGAGAAAGGGCTTTACAATGATTTTAGAGGAGCATTCAGCCACGTATCTTCCATGACATCCCCATTTATATGGCTATGTATCTCAGTGAAGTGTTGCATTTCTTGGCAACAGTGTAACTTTTTTCCCCACTAATGCTCAGTTTATTTCATTTGCATATGCATGTATGTACTCTGCATAATTCCATATACACAAAACAGATTTCCTACTGCCCAAACTAATTTTACAAGCACTTATTTACAGCTCCATAAGGTCTGTAAATAATTTCAGCTACTCAAAAGCACTGAATATTGATAGCATTGAATAATGTAAGCACTGACCAAAATTCTGAAGCTAGAGCCATTTTAGATTATATTTCCATTAAAATCTAAATCCAATGTAGATCTAAATTATGGCACAAAGACTAGAAGATAAATTGGAACTAATTTCTAAGAACTAACAATCTTCCTAGCAAGGGTATTTTATTTTACACTTTTAAAGCTCAGCCACATTTTAAACAAATTCAGCTCTTCTGAAAACTCCATGCCCAACTCTCCATAAGAACAGATGTTAAAATTTGCTAGCAGATGTTACAGTACAACTTGACTTGCCTACATGCCAGATTTAAAATATCTCAGTGAAAAACTTTAGCTAAAAACATTTAAAAGCAGCTTCATCTTCTCTATAGACTTTCTCTGATGTTTTCCTTTGGTCCATTTATACACCCTACTGCACATACATGGTATGTCTCAGCCCACAAGCTACCTTCTTTACCAACAATGCTAGAGCACTTGGAAGAAATCTCTGGGCAGAGATTTAACTTATGCTCTTCTCTCCCCTTTTACACACACACCCCCCAAGCACCAGCACCCAAAGTGGTGCTCAAAACACCAGAAGAGGATGGAGTAAGGGGTCAGATCCTCTCCTGCTGGAGCTAAGCCAGCACCAACACATTTGTCTGCAAACCACAGCATCCCCTTTTACCTTCAGACTTCCAGGTTCTCTCCTTCTGGTCACAACCCCCCTGCCTCACACCTGTGCATACACTGAGATCCCAACAAGATCCCTGCCCATAACACTTTCTAACAAAAGGGTAATGTCATTAAGAATGAAGTGAAATTGGATTGCCCTGTTCCTCCCAGTACCGTAAGAAAGGAATTAAAAATGAAACAATCACATCTTCACTGAAAGAATCTGGAATGTCATCTCAGTTTTTTTTCAAACAAGGTTCCAACTCTATCATGCTCTTCTCACTCCCAATTGAATCCACTAGTGAGTATAGAGTGATTTTTACTAAGCTTTTTACCATTTTGCTGACAATATGCAAGTATTAGGCATATCTTCAAGCTTAAACAGTATGAACAAAATACACATTTAGGGAAATATGACCAATGAGTGTGCAGAATATAAAACCTTTAGCACATCTATTTACATAAAAGCACATGAGCGGCTTTCAGTACCTCCTCTCACTGTTCCAATTTTCAACACTATTTTATCTTCCCCTTTCAAAGACTCCATGATAGAAGCCTAGAATATCTCTCATACCTATCATGGAATAAAAGAAGTTATGTACAGCTTTGTCTGGACACAAATCTACTAGTTCTACACAAAGTCTTGGTTTTAAACTTTAAAGAAAATACCTATTCTCCTCAAACTTTCTCCAAACCTGATTTTCATTCTTCATTGAATGGCAGCAGGCAGAAGCTGTTCTCATTTAAAATGAGGTCTGGATTTCATTTGTAATAATCTGGTTTATGTTCTACCAAATCTTTGAAGCAAGTATGAATGCAATTTATGCCTTCTAAGAGGACTCCTGTTGCCTTGCCAAGACAGTGTTGCCACTGGAAACTCAGTCCATTCAATGTTCAACTATTGACTTCAGAATAAAGAATCCTACAGCCTATATTAATAACAGGATGAAAACTGTGATCAGCAATTGGTAACAGTGTCCTGTGAAGGGTATAGTTTGCTTGGGTTTTTTTGTTTGAAAGAAATTTGAGAGGACCTTTTGGACATCACTAAACAGTTCTTTTCGTAGGTTTAACCCAGCATGAAAACAACTCAACATAAATCTTTGGGGCCTCCGCCAAAGAGGCAAAATCTTAGTAGACTGCAGAAGGTATTTATTTGTTAGAAAGAAAGTATCTCCACTGCTTTAGAATTATTTTGTTACTAATTTTGGCAAAATACGTATTAAATGGTTACAGCAAATAGCAGGTGATGGATGTACTAGCTCTTCCTCAAAAGCGGGGTCAGCTAGACCAGATTTCTCAGGGCATTCTCCCAAGCACCTCCACGGTTGATGAAGTTTTGAGCATCTCCAAGGATAGAGACTGTACAACATCTCTGTGTGATACGTTCCAGTGTTTGACAACCCCCACAGACAAAAATCCAAGGATATTTATGTCTAAGTACAAGTTGAATGAAGATTTCAGGGTCATGATCATCATCCCTCCTTAAAAATGAGCAGAAAACAAGCTTCCATATTTTGAATGGAAAAATTCATGCTCAGAAAGTTAAAACAAGCAGCTATTCAGATGGGATAGGAGAGAAACGCTCTCTTTTTATATATATATACCTAGAGCTTTCGGGGATGTCAGGAGACCACAACATCAGATAAGGACAGACAGGTTAGCATATATGAATCAAAGACATGTCAGGAAACAGTGCCAGGAACTAAAAGGCAAGGCAGACAAGCCATTGGCATTTTGAGTATGAACACCAGCAGAAAACTTTGAAGTTACAAACACAGATAATTAAACTAAAGAGCTAAAAGCTACTTTAAAAGACACAAAAAGCCTTCAGCTCACTGTAGTGTTACCTAAAGACAAACTAGGGCTATAAGATGGTAGGTTCTACCACAATCTTTTTGGATGATGCTTATTTCATCTGTTCACCATTCATGAATTTGATTAACTTCTTCAGCCAGAAGAAAGGTTTTGTTTAAAAGCACACAGTGTGCTATACTTATTCCTTACTGCTGAGTGTTACCATCAACAGATGAAGACAAACTGAAATAACATACTTTAAACATACTTGTAAGCTTGGGATCCAATTCATATAGACACCACATTAGGCAATTCTCATTTCTTTCCTATATAACAATCCCCTTGCCCCACATCTTGTCCTTGTTAGCAATGAACTCTGGCAGATCCTTGATATTTTTATTAAATGTAGTAAAATTTTGCATTTCTTAAGACTAAGGGGTCAGTAAGATTATGATGCTTTATAATGGCCTCCACGCATCATTATGGAACTTGCCATTTCAACTCATACACAGAAAATTATTCTGCATTCAGACAGAAGGATGAAGCAGTGACTAAAGGAGCACAGATATCAGTGAGAGAATAAACTACAACCCTTAAATTCTGTCAGTTCTAGGTGAAAGAGGGAAGAGAGTGAGAAAGAAACTCATCAGCTGATGCTATCTGTAACCACCTCATCTAAGAATGTAAAAGAAAACATTGCAAACCAAATGTAAACAGCTGTAAGACACTTCTCAGTTGGGAAAAGAAAAGAAAGGTAAGGGGAAAGAACAAAGGTGTATGTTTTTAAAGAGGCAAAAGAGAGAGAAAAATACAAATTATCTTTTTTTCCCCAAACCATGGCCATGTGCATAATATACATAAAGGTCCTTACCTTTTTCACTGACACTTTCACTTTCTATCTCCACATCTTCACAGCTAGTATATTCTGGTGTTGATGCCCCTTCTTCCTCTGAGCTACTAACTGACATCTGCCTTTTCTTTCCGCCTCTTTTTGCTCTATGAGGCTTTGGAGGGGATGGCCGCACTGATTCCGACTGGTCAGAGCTAAGGGAATCATTCCTTAGCATGGTCTCCATTTTCTCCCGCTTTGCTTTTCGCATGAGAATAGCAGAGCTAGGATCAAGGCGGCTCTGTTTTTTAAAGGAATCGTGGTTCTTGTATTCTACGTGTTCTATAGGAACTGGACTATGCCTGGGAGTTGGTGGGCTATGATTAGTTAATTGTTTAGAAACAGAAATTCTTACATCACCTGTTCTGTCTATAGAGTACGACCTCTGAGTTTCCACAAGAGATTTTCTGTCCTGAGTTCCCTGTAATTGTGAGCGTTTTCCTAATTTATTCTCAGGTACCTCCGCTTCCTCCATTTCTGTATGTGCCAAAGCTACATCACTGTGTCTTCTCTCGTGCCGTGCTTTAGAAACTTTCGCATGCATGCGCATCTGCTGTTCCTCAGGATGAGGTTTTACAGGGTATCTTGCCAGATTGGGGTCACTCCTGTAACGGGTATGATATTCATCTTCCTTCCTTTGTGTTTCATCGTCAGGCACTTTGCCCTCCTCAAGTTTCTCTGGCAAGTCCTGTGACTTGCCTTTCTCCAGCCTTCTACCTTCATGCCGTTCTTTACGCTCCCTGTCATCTGCTGGTCCTTCTTTCTGAAGTGAGGATTTTGGCACACGCTTACGCTCACTCTTTAAACCTTTGCCATTCTGGTCTGAAACTGATATTGTCTTCTTCCTACAGTGAAAAGGAGTACAATACTTAGAAGAACTGAATGCAAAATAAAAATATACTGTTATTGTGAATAGATTATAAACCAACAAAAGATACGGCAAAATACATAGAAAGGTACTGGATGGATGCACTAAAATGAATTTTCCAGTAGTAAACAACTTCCAGACTCCACAAAAACATAAGTTATGGATAGTCCAATTAATGAGTAAAATCACAAAGAATATTAACGTGGATAAATGCAGAAAAGAATTAACCCACTTAAGCAGGCAGACTCAAAGTCATCTCTTTGTAGTAACTGCAGCACTATGACAGAGTATTGGAATACATTCTCCATTTTTCCAGCAGCAGTCGTGAGGGTTACAGCCTAACCATACAATTCACTTCAAGCACCCTGACAATATAGATATAAACACCACCAAACAGAACATGCCCACAATAATATTACAGAAAGTAATATAGATACAAAAAAATTCAAAAGACGATATACCCAGAAACAGTAATATTTGACCTATTTCACTTTATCTTATTCAAACTCTAAAAAGAAGTGTCATCTCATAAGCATACAAAGAAAAGCAAATTGACTCCTTGAGATAAATTAATGGCATTCCTTTCTCTGGTAATAAAAGAGGATGAAAAATGTAATTTATTTCTTTATACAGTCAAAGTACAAAACAATGAATAATAAAGCTGTGTGAAAATTATGCTTCCTCCTCTTTTATCTTCTGCTTTGGGAGAATAAGCAAGCTGAAGAATCTAAAAAACCCTTATACTGGATATTTTTATTTCTCTCATCATTCCAGTTGCCCTTTTGTTTACCAGTTCACATATGAATCCATTGATTTTGAAGAAGGCTGAGCACAGCTACACATTGTATTTGAGATGAACGTGCACCAGGGCAAAGTTACTAGGAGCCTTTTTTTTTGTGGCACTGAATCTTCCCTTCCACAACTGATATGTCTTCAGATTATATATCACAGATTTACAAAGATGCATCTGAGAGGACAGGCAAAGTTAGATATGATCCAGCTTAAGATCCAGCCTCTTTTTTCCCCCATCTCCTGTTCCTCCTGAGTTTTTGGCAATAAAGGGGACGTGAGCTTACTATAGACACTCACCATACAGAACCCTTTGACTTCATTTCAAAGTCTCAATGACAACTAGAGAACATAACTTATAATTAATTATAGTATAATTAGTATCACCACCTTACTTATGGACAGCAAAGCAGAAACATAAAGCATTTTGGTGCCCTGAAAGTGTCCTTCAGCAGAGTGACGACTGCTCTGAGGGCCTTCCCAGTGTTGGAGGAAAAAGGTCAACAGAATTAGGGAAGGGTACCATGCTTTCATTTACATCATACATACACATAACACTAACCTGAGTTTTGGTACAGTTAAACCCTGACAGACCTCACCCACACAGTAAGTTACTAACCACTGTTCATCATCCATTTTCAACTTCAATTGCTATGAAAAAAAAATCAACCACTCTGGCCAAGGGAAAATTTTCTATGGCAGTCTCTTGCTTTGTTGCCACAGGCTCCCTCCTCAACTGCTCTGCCATCTGCCAGGCAGCAGCCAAAAGAACAGCAACTGCTTCATCACATTAGCCTCTCTTGATTTGCTAATCCCCAACCCATTCATCACAGTGAATATAGCTCAGGAATTTACTCATTTAACTTACTTAAAATAAAATAGTTTGCTCCTGGTTGGCTTTATTCTTGCATACAACTTTCTCTGAATTCAAGATGGTACCATTGCTGTTCTGCATGAATGTTTACTTTGCAGGTGTAAATGAGCTCTTTTAATTGTATTAATTTTAAACCAGGAACTGTCATTGATGAAAAGACAGCCCATAAGGATATCTGACAGAACTCCACAGGATGGTTTTCTTGTTTGTTTGTTGTGGGGGGTTTTTTGGGGGGGTGTTGTTTATTTAAATTCCAGTACATATTTCAACAAGTTAAAGGCTTGCTTTTTTCATAGAATCATAGAATGGTTTGGATTGGAAAGGAGCTTAAAGATCATCTAGTTCTAACCCTCCTGCCACGGGCGGGGGAGTACACCTTTCACCAGAACCCTCCACTTTGTTTACTAACTTTTAAATTTTAAATTTGGCAGGTATTTTAAAGCAACCTACAATTCTGTATTAAAAGTGTACACCAAAATGCATTGGAATACAGGAAAATATCCCTAAAATACAATTATTTTTGTTCGTCATTTCTGTTCACAGATCAAATCAGACAATGCATTGCTAGTAAACGTTTATCCTTCTTCGGTCAGTAAATCAACTTACTCTTTGTTTTTACACTGTTCTAGACACACAACTAGCCCAGCTGACAGCCGTTTGTAATATTACCAAACTAGCATTTGTAACTGTAATAAAATAAAAGCATTACCTCTCTCTTGGAGGTTCACTTCTAGACCTTGATGAAACTTGCTTTTGGTCCACGCCCATAGCTGGCTGTGATACTTCTGCTCCTTTCCTACGGTCAGGCTGCACACTGGCAGAAGAGATTTCCTGTGATGAGGCAGTTGCTGTACTTAAGGGAGTCTGTGATCTTGATCGCTCTTGAAGTCTTGCTTTCTTCTCTCTTGGTGCATCTGAGCTTCCACCAGTTGCTGTATCACTCAGTGTTCCATCCTGGCTGGGCGAGGGTTGTGGTCCACTTCCAAAAAACCACGCTCCGGATTTCGTTAGGATTTCTTGTTGCTTTCGACATAAATTGCATACCCACATAACCTAGTTGAAGACAATAAGAAGAGTCAGTGCAGCTACCCCCCAGGCCCTGAAATGC